AGCAGACACTGCGTAGAACATCGACGTCGTTCAAAACTCCTCCTTCTGTTCTCTGATTGGTTCGGCTAAAAATCTGCCAGCGAAATCCTCGTCTATGGGAGAAATCCCAGACGGAGCAGAGAAGGAAACTAGAATTGAGCAGAACTGTGTAGGAAGGCAAGGGCCAGGCTAGTCCTGATTGAGCTGACACTTCTGGTATTCATATTGTTGAAATAACTCAAAGTATGTGGAAGCAGACTGATTGCAAAAATCCATCCATCCATTTTCTATACMCGCTTAYTCCTCCAGGGTCACAGGTGCCCACGTCCAGCAGCCGCAGACCGAGGGGCGGGGTACACCCTGGACAGGTCGGAACAAACTCTAAACAGGAAAACACAGTGAGAATGCTGACTCAGCATTCCCACAGAGAAAAGACCTTCTCAGTATGKGCTGATCTGTGGAAGAAGAGTGTGAAATTCACAGCTGAACATCTCTTGAGTAAACAGAGAAGCAGACCTGTTAAAATCTCATTGAACTGAGACTGAACATCCAATAAGAACACACACTGGGTTTGAGCTTCCCGTTAAACCATGGCTGGTCAAAGAAAACACCCAGCAGCACAGAAAAACACTGTTCAACCAAGAATCTGAGGTGACAACATGGGATTTAGATGTAATAATTTAAAACAAAATCTGTTCTGTCTCACTGTCTACAATCGAATGCACCAAAAGCTAACAGGCTACGGTTATTTGTGAGAAATCACTCAGGTCCTAATTCACTTGACTTTTAGGTGCTTTTATTTTTCCATCAATGACGTGGGCGTGTACCTGTTGTTTTAACTACGTTGGATACAAGAATGCAGACAAGAGGAAATAAAAATCAAACCAAATTTAAAGTTTCTTAACAAAACAGAAGCCTGTTGTGGCAGAAAACACTTGAGGATCAAACACAATGAGACACCAGGGAACCAGGTGTGGTGTAACAGGTGAGCGAAGAGAAGATGAGGAACTAAAAGGACTGTGGCTGATGAGAGAAGTGGCTGCAGCTGTGATGGGTCAAACAAGCAGGTGGAAGAAGAGGCTGATGGACCAGAGACACACAGGAGAATCAAATCTGAACACAAAGAGACAAAACATGGAACCAAAGAAACAGAAAACAACTCAAAATAAAAAATTTAAAAAATCCTGGCTGAAATGCCAGAAGTTCTTTGGCTTTGTCTCAAAAACAACTGCTGAGCCTTTCTTTTCCAAACTGAGTCACTGGTGGAGTTTACCTGCAAACGCTGGCCTCATGGTGAAGTCATGCTCATCGATGCGCAGGAGGTGGCTGGTCTTTAGCTTTTGCGATTTGGTGCCATCCATAATCTTCTTGGACAGAAGCCTGACAAAGTGAAAAACAAGCAGAAATTGGCTAAAGAAGAGAAAAGAAATGCTCATCCTTCTCAGCTTTACTCGAGTCTTTTTGTAACAACTAGWTGTCCAAGTTAAAACATACCAATAAAACCAGCAGATTCTGATGTTATCAGTCCATTAAATGGACGTTATTAGGCATTATCAGTCCCATACAATGGCTTCAGAATGTCCCTACTGTGCCTGCTAGGCTTCAGAATGTCCCCACAGTGCCCTCTAGTGGGTTAATATATCAATGACATTGAATGTGTAAATAACGAAAACACATCTAAAGCATAAATAAAATAATCCACTGATTATAAATGGTAAATGATGCTGATCACAAAGTAGCACAAAGAGGGTCCAGGTCAGGATGCAGGGGGTTACCCGACACGTCAAAACCGGACGCAGAGGGAACCTGGATCAAGAGTCGATTTGTTCTGACTGAAGAATCAGAAGATGCTAACGGTTGCTGGTTTGACATGTTGGACTTCAGACMTGCAGTGACCTGAGTTCCACATTTTAACCCCTGACCGAAGTGTCTCCATCCAGTTTCCCTTCATCTGTTTCCTGCTGGTAGCTGCTGGTTGATGATGGGTTAATGTCAAGTGGTAAATGACACATTTTAGATCAGTTTGATGAGAGGTTCACAGGTTTTAGTGTGTTAATATGAAACAGGACATTGTTCTAAACTGAATGATTTGTTAATTAATTTGTCTTGAACTGTAGCCTCTAGTTCAGCTAACCAATTTAAATAGTTCATAATATAAAAAAGCCAAATTTTAAATTATGTTTATGTGACCTTCATAGCCAGTTAGGTACTGAAACATGACTTTCTAAGTACTTATCAAACAGTAACCCTCATTCTGAGGTACATATTGAACTTGTAAAGATTGTCCATAAATCACACAGATTTTCTACTGTATATGTTTCAGGAATACGGACTTTTAGAAATTTCAGATTTATTTAAAAAAATCAGCTTCAAATTTATTTAACATCTCAGAGCCTGTAAGACATAAAATAACCACTAAATCAAATTAAATAAGCACGTCCCAACCTGCTCTGCAACACCGCAAAAATGATGCTTTCCTGTCAGTTCACCTCCTCGGACTGTTCCTTGAGTAAATACTGAAAACATGTAAGTGGATATTGTTACATCTAGTGTGTCAAGAACTAAACAATGTAGTGTCCTTATTAGTACTATTGCACAGGTTTATCATTGAGCAGATGGATATGAAGGTATTTTCAGGGACTGAGTGAGATGCTGAGAGAGTCTGTGACTGAGTGCAGTGCAAAGTTGGTGTACAGAAAAATTTAGAAAAGTGTGTAGTAAGCACAAAAATACTCAGACTAAAATATAAAAATTAAAAAGTCAAACCATGCAAAGTTTTCTTTTTCACATCTGGCCCCTTTGTTGYGGCAGGGGCTCACTCTTGGTCCTTCCTTACGCTGTCGGCGGCTGGGTGTGCGCTCTCGGCTAGATCATTCTTGCTGGGGTTCGGTAGCTTCTTTGGGCTGCCGGTTGGCTGTGGGGCTGGGGGTCGGGTCTTGGGGGTCTGTGCGGCTCTGGGGCGGGGGGTCTGTTGGCCCTGGTTTCTGGCAGTCCTCCGGGCTCTGTCTGTCCGTGATCTGGCGTCTTCCGGGCCTGGCGGTCTGTCCGGAGGAGGAGGTCTTGGGGGCCTCAGTCCCTGGGTGGGTCTCGGGGAGCGGGGGAGCCTACTGGGGTCAGTGCCCACTCACATTGTTTGCTTTTAGACATTTAGAGTTAGGGTTAGAGTTGGGGTGGAGAGGAAACTGGCATAGTGCTGGCCTCTGCCCTGTCTTCTTCCCCATTTTAATTGCATTATAGAACATCACGCATCAACAGTACATCTGAGGGTGGGGGTGTGTGTGTCGGGGTCTTTTTCACTCACCCGTTCCCCGTTGGCCGTCTGGGGATGGGGGCCTGGGGGGCTGACCGTCTGGTGGGGCCTGGGCTGCGGGCGGACATGGGGCTTGGAGGGGCTACGGAGGCGGGGCTGGCGCTCCGGCTTCCCTGGGGCTGTTCGGGCTCCCTGAGTCTGGCTCCTGGTTGCTGTGGTTGGCCCGCTGGCTGGGGTGGCTGCCAGAGTCTGGGAGGTGGTCGGTTGGGGGTGGGCACCTGGCCGTTGGCAGGGTGTGGGGGTGGTCCGGGGCGTGGCTTTGCTGGGTCAGGGGGCTGGTCGGTCGGACAGGTGCGGCCCGGGCTGGGACTTGGCTGTATGCTCTTCTCCACCCCAGATTGAAGGGGTCTACCTCCGGGGTTCAGGTGTGAGCTGCCCTCTGCAGGGGGTAGGTGCATATCCTGGACCTGGGGGGTATAGAGTATGTATGGGGAGTGTGAGAGGATTGTGGCGTCCATATTGTGTGTCTTTGAATGAGTGGGTGAGAGTATGAGGGTGGGATTGTGTGAGTGTGTTTATGTATGCTTRTATTTTTGTCAGGTTGGGACTTGGGCGGCCCCTTCTTCGGGATCATTTGAGGGCCCATTATTCCCCTGCCGTGCTGTCCTCTGGTGGGTTGTGCCTTTGCCCGCCGGCGCACTGGTGGCTCTCGTTGTCCGGGGCTGGGTGCTTGGGCGTGTGCCGGCTTGGCCCGGTGACTGCCTGGTGGGGCTTGGGTCCCTCTGGCCCTGTCGGGCCTTGGCCTGGGGGGGAAGGGTGCGTCCTGGGGGCCCGGGCCTCTGTGTCCATGCCTGGATCCACTCTGGCGTGGTGGGTACCGGCGGGGCCTGTGAGTTCGTTGCTGCTGGCCCCAGGGGTTGCTGTGTGTGGTCGCTGGTGGGGCTCTTCCGGTTCTCTCCGGTGGTCCTCTTTGGGGGGTGGGTGGGCGGCCCTTCCGGCTTTGCGGGTCGGGTCTGTGGTCCCCCACAGTCACTTTGAAACATTCCATTGGAGAGATCTTGCATATAC